CAGGACAATCCTCTAACCACTGAGCACACCAGCCATGGCTAATCTGTTTTTTTAAAATCCTCATCTGAAGATGTTTTTATTGATTTTTTTATTTTTGGGGGGTGGGGGGAGAGAGAGGGAGGAAGGGAGAGAAAGAGAGAGAAACAAATGATGAGAGAGAATCATTGACTGGCTGTCTCCTGCACGCCCCCTACTGGGGATTGAGCCCACAACCCAGGCATATGCCCTGATGGGAACTAAACAGTGACCTCCTAGTTCATAGGTCGATGCTCAACCATTGAGCCACGCTAGCCAGGCAGCATCGGGTCGGGAGGCCGCCGGGTTCTGGGTCCCTCGGACTTAAATGAATGAACGACGCCTGTTGTGGTCCACGGGCATTCGTCTCAGACATTATAAATGTATATAAATTGTAAATGCTGTAATTTAAACTGTATAATGTTTAAATGTCACCAACATTACACGTGTGCTAAGGTTTTCAATTGCAGTAGAGCCATATCTACGAGAGTGTTGTAAATTCAGATTAGTATCTGAATCAAAGCCGGTAAAACTAAACATCTGGGTTGTAGATACCTGAGTTAAATCCTCATTCGTTCGTTCGGTTTTTAGAAATATTTAACAGTCCAGACACTTGAGAATGGGAGGAAAGGAAGATCGCTTGTGTGGCCCACTGCTAAGGTGGGAACTGCAAAGGGGGAGGGGGTGACAGCTGGACAGGAATGGGCAGGGACGTCTCTGCAAGGCACATACTCAGAATTTCTGAGCCACAGGTATGAGCGTGTCCCATTTTAATGACTAAGGAAAGCTATTCACACTGCTCCCACTGGGCCCTAGCCCGTTTGGCTCAGTGGGTAGAGTGTTGCCAGTGGACTGAGGGTCCTGGGTTTGATTCCCATCATATCTGGGGTTGCCAGCTCCATCCCCTACAGGGGTCATGCAGGAGGCAGCCAATCAATAATTCTCTCTCATCATTGATATTCCTCTCTCTCCCTCTCTCAAATCAATATATTTTAAAAAAAACAACACACAAAAAAACTTGTCCCACTGGGCTTTACGACGCCACCAGAAAAAAACATCGCTCCCTGCCCTGGGCAGAGACGGAGCACCCACCCACCTACTGCCCGGGCTTCACTCAACATGCATGCAGACTCCTGACACTAAAGGGATTCATTCCCCCAACTTCCAACGAATACGAATGCTGGCCCTCTGTGGAAGTGCACAGTGCGATGTGGCTTACCCATTTGACACACCGCCCCATGCAACCTCATGCCCTGTCCAGAGCCACTCAGCGGCACCTTAGCTCACGTGGATGCTCATGACAGGCTGGGAAGGTAGGCAGACCAGGGCCTTGGTACTTGTGAGTGACGAGAACTGGTGGATGCAAGGAACAGAGCAAGGGCTCAGTGCTGCAGAGGGACAGGGAGCAGGGGCGCCTGCGCTCCTGGCTTTGCACACCCTTGGAGCCACCTGCACGAGGACACAGGGTGCTTGGAGCTCCCACGACACTGACACCCCAATCCTACCTGCAGGCAGAAACAGACCAGAGGCAGGCGACGATTCTTCCTGATAAGATGTGGGTTTTCTCCTTTAGTGTGAGGATCAGGAGCAGCGTTGTCTAACAGACAGAATGCAAGCCACCCACCTGTTTCTAAAATGTCTCGTTGGTAACCAGTCAAAAATCAAAATGGACACCAGTAAAAAAACTTTAATATTTCCTTTAATCCATCATATCCAAAATACATTTCAACATGTAGCTGTTTTTAAGTGAGATATTTTACTTTGAAAATTTTTGGTATTGCTTTCAAAACCAGCGTTTTATTCTCAACTTGGACAGAAATTTTCATGAGAAAGACCTGATCTATATTCAGATTTCATGGCTTCCAGTTCATGAAGTGCAGTTCACATCCCAAATTACCGATAGACTTAGAGCTTTCCTAACTGGACCAAGTCAATGGCTCTCACGCTGAACAGAGCCAGAGCCCAGTGCCTGCTGCGCTGGCGCCTTCCACGGGCTCTGTACGGGCTGTGACCACAGCAGCTCCGATGCAGCAGCATCACCCGGGAACTTTTGGGTCTAACCTTTCCGTGCAGGTGTCCAGCTGCGAGAATTCTCTGGGTCCACCCAGGCCCCCAGAATCATACTCTGGGGTGGGGCCTGCACTGCTCTAACAGCGCCTCCGGGCGATTCTGACGCATTTGGAACACATCCCACAAGAAGAGCACCCACTTGTACATCGGACTGAAGACAAGCCCCTCCTCCTCACCTTCTGGGCTGTGAGCCCAGGGGAGTGGCTGCGTGGGTCTGCTAGCCCAGGCCAGCGGGTGTCTGAGTGCACGGCGGGTGACCGGTGGCTAACTCGGACAGCACTGTCCCCCGCTTCCTAACACTCCAGGTCTCAGGAGAGAGCTCTTGCCATGCACTGAGGTTCCAGTCTCAGTCCCGCTTGGGGTCAGTGCGGTCACAGCCTCTCAGGGGAGTGGGTGGTGGGTGGGCCGCCCCCTTTCCTGAGCTGATGGCCACATCACTACCGAAGCCCCACGAGGAAGCCAAAGTGTGACCACCTCTCTGCTGTTTAGGTGGCGAAGCTTCTTCAGAGTCAGGCCTGACAAACAGCTCAGGCAGCACCGCCCTGACCGGCACACGCGGCCCCCTGCTCTTCAAGCCGCTTCCTTTTATTTGGAGGGAGGGAGGGTGTGGAGCAATGTACCCCACCTGAGGGTAGGAGGGCCCTCAGATTGCTTATCTCACGGAAGGACTTATGTACTCATCGGGGAAGGTTCGTTTCAGACCTTTGCCATGAGGAGCAGGAAAGCGCCCTAGAACCCACGTCCCCACGAGGGCGGTGGGACACACGAACAAGCCTCTGCAGCTGGCGCAGACCCAGGCGTCATCGCCTCGCTTTTGACCTGAAAGAGAATGACTTACTTCTTACCTGTGCCCCGTTAACTAAGGTGCAGCGCACGTCGGCCCAACATGGTGCTGCAGAAACCCTCAAATGTCACTGCTGGACCACGGTGCTCCGGAACCAGCTGCACCTGTAACCTGAGGCTCTGCCCCCTCCCCCCGCCCCCCAAAAGCCACTAGATCCGCGCGTGCCATCTGGACTAACGCCTGAGTCGCTGAGCCAGCCAGCGGGGTGGCAGTGTGTTCAAAGGGCCCGACGGTTCGGATTCAGAGGCTCTCACAGCTGGACACCTGCACGGAAAGGTTAGACCCAGTCAGCCACGCCTTCCCAGCTTCCCACGGAGCCACAGGCAGTGAGGGCAGAGTCAACCCTGAGCCCACAGACGGCTCCCATTTCTATTCCACAGCAAGTTTAGGCAGATGCTTCTACTGACCCAACGAAGTCCTCGGGTTAACACTAGTGAGTGGGCTCATTGTGTCCCCCAAACGGCAGGTTGAAGTCCTAACCCTCGGAGCATGAGAGTGTGACGCAGGGCCACAGCCGATGTCATTGGTTGAGTCACAGTGGAGCGGGGTGGGCTCATAAGAAGGGGGCGTTGGGCACAGGGAGAGCACCGGGCTGATGTCTACAAGCCAAGAATGCCAAGACTGACAGCGCCACGCAGCGAGGGGAGAGGCTGGCACAGACTCTCCCTCAGAACCTCCAGGGGAACCAGCCCGACACCCTGATCTCAGCTTCAGCCCCCAGAACTGGAACTGAGACGAGGAATCCCATTGTTTGAGCCACCGTTAGTGGTTCTTTGTTACGGCCGCCCCAGGAAACAACACAGAGGACTCCAACTTTAATTTAGAATCCAACTTTAATGAAGATTATATTCAGGCAAACTCCTCATCCACCACTTGACAGAGAACAACACTCCAGGCTCCTCACCGCCCTCCGTGGGCAGGAAGCTGGCTCTACCCTCGTCAGGGGAGGCGTCAGGCCAGCACCCGGCTGGGACTTCTCACCCCGCGATGCTGACGGCTCTGCTCCCATGTGTGCAGCTATGATCCAGAGGATGTCTGTGTTGAATACAGAAGTTGCCATGACACCGGTCACAAGCCACTGGCAGCATCTCTTTCTTCTTACACCCCTTTTTCGAGCACCGGAAGGTAAAAACCTGAGAAAGACAGTTAATTCAGTATTTTAATTGTGTCCATAAGCAATTCTTTAACAAGCCCCATAGTAAGACCATTAACATTTACCTAGAAACAGTTTTTAGGTACTAGGAATGAAGAGGTCAAGGTTTTATTCAAACATCCTATATAATAAAAGGCTACTATGCAAATCGACTGAACGGCGGATCGACTGGTCGCGATGACGTGCACTGACCACCAGGGGGTAGATACTCAACGCAGGAGCTGCCCCCAGGTGGTCAGTGCGCTCCCATAGGGAGCCCCGCTCAGCCAGAAGCCAGGCTCACGGCTAGTGAGCACAGTGGTGGTGGTGGGAGCCTCTCCAGCCTCCATGTCAGCTGGACATCCCCTGAGGGCTCCCGGACTACGAAAGGGCACAGGCCGGTCTGAGGACCCCCCCATAAGTGGACAAATTTCATGCACCAGGCCTCTAGTTTTACAATAAAACAGACTACTAATTAAGGAGACAAAGTTTTAACCCCTTCCCCGGCAGAAACGTGTATACACGTTTCTGCCGGGGAAGGGGTTAATAAGTGATAAATACAAAAGCAGCTGTTTAGTTGGGGATTCATGTAGGGTGATTAGAGGTATTCTCAGGAAAACGCACACACACACACACACACACACACACACACCCGGGGGAGTGGGGATGGGGACATGGGAGGGAAGGCGGCCAAGCATGTGACATCATGCTCAGTCCCTCAGAGGGCTGCTGGCTCCAGGGGCTCGGAGACATGGAAGCGTCCCCGCCAGGGGAAGGGAGCAGGACCATCTATCTACAGCCCCAGGCACTTACTTCCGAGTCTGTGAGGGTTAAGAATGTCAGTGAAGAGGGGTGTCCAGCAGCCGGGGGCAGCCCTCCGCAAGGACAGGTGTGAGTTGCCTCAAGGGACCTGAGCGTGTGACACAGGCGCTGGGCCCCAGAGAACACCGATGTTGGCAGCAGGTAGGGGAGCAAAGAGCTCCTGAAGAACATGGAGCCACCCCCACATGAGGCGGAGGGAAGGACGCAGCTGGGAAGTCTGGGCGGAGCCGCCCGCTTAGTGGGCCTTAGCTTTGGGGGACCTCCCGAGGGCTGGGAGGCAGAGCTCACAGTGCACAGTGAGAGCAGAGAGCGGCGAGGGCAAGGAAGGCACAGGGATGTTCTTCTCTCGGGTTCGAGGAGAAACAGGAGGCAGAAGTTAACAGGCCTTACATTTATTTACTGTAATTGTAATGGCTGTGTATTTAATGTGACATGTTAAGGTAGTTGGTAACTACACATAAGGACCCATGACTGAAACTGAGATTTAAGCTAAACAGGAGCCAGTTTCCTGGGAGGGTGGGGGACGGGGCGAGAATGTGTGGGAGCCAGAATGGGGACAGGAGCTCCATGTTCAGCTCACACTGTGGTAAAAGGTGACGCCCAAACCTACGGGCAGACCCGCCAAACCCGCGATCTAACAGTGTGCGCACCTGTAGAAAACACACTTGCCCTAAACGAGCCACACGGCTGCGAGGTGAGAGGCGCGGCTGCACGCCCCATACGCAGGGGTACAAGCACACTGATGACAGCTCGGCCGCCAAGCGAGCACACTGGTCCTCTCAGCTTCCTCCTCCTGCGCTTCCCTGGGAGGTGCTTAGGGGCAAGTAGGCACTCACAGAATGGCTCTCGAGAACCACACCAACTCTCCACCGTGGGAGAAAGTGTGAGGTTCCTGTAAAGAAAGCAAATCTGTGCTGGCCGGTGGCTCAATGGTTAGAGCACCGGCCTGCTCACCAAAGGATCACAGGTTTGACTCTTGGTCAACAGCACGTAACTGGGTTGCAGGTTCAATCTCAGGACATCAGGGCACATGTGGGAGGCAACCAATCGATGTGTTCCTCTCACATCAATGTTTCTCTCCCTGCCGCCCCATTCCTCCCTTTCACACTTTCTAAAAAGCAAAGGGGAAAAATATCCTTAGGTGAGGATTAACACACAAAAAAAGAAAGCAAATCCTAACATAGACCCGAATACTCAGAGAATGTGTTTATATGACTGTAAAAGCCTATGCCACTCACAACACCAACTTTATTAGAGCTTCAGTTTGTACACAAACTATCAGGATGAATTTTGAGTGATAACTAGCCCGTTCCCCTGAGGAAAACCCCACTCACAGAGCTGACAGGGAACTGGTCCTCACCTTCTCCTTCCCAGGACGGCCTCTACAATCTCTATCCATGTGCTCACCAACCACCACATCCGGTACCTCTCCCTTCTTCACTGGGATTGGGCGGTTACAAAGCGGGCACACTGGGACCTGAACATCCTACAATAATGAACATAAGATGGCATTCCAGATTCAGGCAATTGAAACTCACATGAGAAAAAGGCAAGCTGGTGCAGTGCATAAAAGGCAGCCGGTGCCTAACAACCCATGAGAACACAGCTCCCAGCAGCTGAACGCCTCACACGGTCAAAGCCACCTCCGAGCCTGGGCAGGAGCTGAGGAAACTTAGCTCAGTAAGAACACTGAGGCGACAACTGACATCCAGAAGGTGACAGGTAATCCCAGAATCACGGGGGCCTACAGTCTGGGGCTGAGCTGAAAAGTCACCCAGGAATGCTCCCCCAGCTAGCAAGTCTAAGAAATCAAGCATCACCACTGGTCTCCAAGGCAGACCCGCCCTAGAGACAGGCGAGGTCAAGTCGACAAATGAAGGGAGCACTTGGGCCTGGTCATCAGCGCCTGTAAACATGAGTGTGTGAGTCGCCTCCCCCACCTCGCGACCTGGAATACGCTGGAGGCTCAGATGCCAGCCAGCACCGATCAAAGCGTGTGACGCCAAGTCATTCCCATCTCTGCTGCCCATGGCGAAGCAGCAGAGTGCCGAGAGAGCTCCCAAGGCAGTCCCAGCGCCGCCCAGAAACAGTGCCTCCAGGCCGGGCGCCACCTGCAGAAGTCCATCGAGGGCAGTGCTGCCCGGAGATGCTCCATATCCACACCACCCAGCATAGCACAGCAGTCACTGTCCTGTGATTACTCAGCACCCGCAACGGGGCCAGTGTGACTGAGAGACTGACCTGAACCAAGTTATTAGCTACCGGAGGCTGGTGTCGACCTTGGACAGCACAGTTTTGAAGAGTAGGAACTAGATTCTTTCTAATAAAGCATGATAAGTTACCTTCTTGTATGCAAAGGGACATTGATGTGCAGCGTAGGTAAAATGATCTTTACAGAAATCTTGCTCACATACATCACATTTCAATGGAAGAAAATCTAAAAAAACAACAACACAAAACAGTAAAATGCTTTAAAGACTAGAAAAAAAGAATTATAGATCACTAGTGGTCTGGTTCATGGATTCGTGCACATGGAAAGGAAATTAATTAGAAGAAATATTTTAATATCGCTATTCTCCCTTTCTCTATAATAGAAGTGTCAGAGATGAAAGAAAATTAGTAAAATGTATATGAAAATAGCATATAAATTGATTAATAAACAATAACATTATATAACAAAGAGATGATATAAAAACAAAAACGATATAAAAACATT